GGAGATGTGGCAGATGCGCATGTGAAAGCTCTGAACCCGGCTCTCGATTCTAGCTCAAGTTATTTAGTCTCCGGACAGCCAATGACTTGGAAAGATGTTGTTGAAGTTCTGCAAAAGGATTATTCTGCTGTGCCTTACAAGGTCGTATCGAGCACAAATCCCAAGGTGGCAAAAACCGATACTTCGAAGGCAGAGAGAGAACTTGGTCTTCAATGGGCCAAGCCAGAGAAAATCATCAAAGAAGTCATGGACCAGCAATTGTCATTTCTTAAACAAAATTCTTCGTGAGGAACATGGCTAAAGAGTCAAATACCAATTGTTGATGAATTCAACTTGTTATTTGTTAGTTTATACATTAGAATTGATTTTCCCAATATAATTAGGCTTTGAATATTGTCAATTTGGGAAGTCATCTGAGTCTGTGCATTTTGTGATAATGGCGACTTAATATCTCTGACATCAAAGAGCAGTAAATATTTGATTATGATGTCTTCAAAGTAGATAGTACCGATTGAATAGCGGTATGGTATTTTATTAGTATTTACTTGAGCATGAGTAACTTTCTCGGTTATTATAGATATATCTTTTACAGTTGTTAATTTTGCTATCAATATAAGCTGTGAGCAGTAGATCGATATCCAGTGAGCATTTCTAGAAAAGATAGTTTTATATTAAGTAAGTAATATTATACAATACGTTGTTGTTGGAATTAAAAAGTAGTATATAGAAAATCTGCTGACTTCTACATCTCATTAAACATATTTATAATATCCCGTATAAACGCTTATATCGTAGTAATTCATTCTTCGATTATATAAAAATTACTCGACTTATTATAAGCATATATAAAATCCAGACATTTTTCAGTATTTGAAGCTTTATATGTTAGGAAAAGCATTATTATAACTATAAAACTTTAGTTTATTACTATTCTAATTACAGTTGATATTGTAGGACAAGCTATGTTTTGAGCAATAGTCGCTGTAGGAAATATCTGCTCATGCGTATTCGTCTTATTTCATAAGATCATGAGCCAGGATTACGTGGGGATCTTACGTCTACACAAGATAATTGGGCACCGTTGGTCTGGTTCGTACTACAGTCTTACTCAGAAAATAAATCATCATTTGAAGAACGTAGATCACACCAACAGCGATAACTGTTGGTGATGAAAGTTTTTTTGGCGGTGCTGTTACTATAGGTCTGCTGAATATACTTATGGGATAATTTTGGGGGTGGGATTGGTCAGATATAGCCACCAACATCAATATATGCAGGTTACCTTTAGGAAGTCTTGATGAAGTCTTGATGAAATCTTTCTTCAGCATTTCGAATTTCTTACTTGTTGGTGTCGTTTTCAAGCTGCAATTTCTCGTTTTTTCTACAATCGCCGAATCATCAAAACCTTGCTCAGATCCTGAAATAACAGTCTATTTTATTTTTTGAGACGAGCTTTACTCCTTGCAAAATATATCAAGTTCCTAGCATGAGTGAACAAATTGAAACTCTTGGTTTGGATGGAGAGAAGAGAGCCCATAACTTACAGGCACAAGTGTCAAGCGTATCTCAATCTGATCCATCCATGAGCGATACGTCGCAAGCCGATGACATTTCTCTCGAAGTAGTATCCAGTCAATCCCCTACAATTTACCTAAAGGGAGCAAGACTTCACATGATAACAGCTGCGTTCGAAACTCTATTCTTTTATTCTTCAAAAGGACAAGCAAGAAGTACTGATTTGTCTCAGAATCTTTTTATCTCTTTTTATCACCAATCTCGAAATCCCGATTGTTACAACCTCTTTAGTTTCAATTACAGACGACTTGAACTCCTTCAATCAAGTCAATTGGATTGCATCTGCCTACATGCTGGGTGAAGTTAGTAAGTTAAACATTCCCAAACGAAGCGCTAATAGCACATACTGATAACTTTCCATAGGCATGCTTATGATTTGGGGCAAACTCAGTGACATATTTGGCAGAAAGCTATGCACAATTACTTCTATCAGTTTATTTACCATATTTGCAGGAGCTTGTGGGAGTTCTCAATCTATGACACAGCTGTAAGTTACCAACATTTAATCCAATAGGTGGTAAAGATGTAGTGTACTAATCGACGGTAAAGTATAATCTTTCGAGCATTTCAAGGGATTGGCTCGGGAGGTAATTTTGCGCTTGGTAACATAATAATTTTTGAGCTGGTGCCTAAGAAGTTATACACGAGATATACAAGCTTTATATCAATCGTCTACTCAATTTCATTTTCACTTGGGCCTGTTTTAGGCGGGGCACTCAATCATTCCAAAACTTGGAGATGGGTATTTTTATTAAAGTGAGTCTGATCCTCGATCAAATCACTTTCTCAAAGACTAAAAGATTCGTAGTGTGCCAGCTGGAGCTCTTTCCGCTCTTGCAATTGTTCTTTATCTCCCTGCCAAATTCCCCAATCACGAACGCGACGAAACGTCTAAAGGTTTTGGATTCAAATCGCTGTTTTCAACAAACGTCTTCAAACGAGTTGATCTCCTCGGTGCCATAATACTACTGATTGCTACCGCTCTCTTAGTCACAGCACTCGAAGAAGCCGGACAGTTATACGATTGGAAATCGGCATTTGTAATCGCTCTTCTAACGGTATCCTGTATTTTTTGGGTTGGTTTTGTTTTTTGGGAGCGACTGGTGAGCTTAGAATCACAAACCGCCGAGCCAGTGTTCCCCTGGAGGCTTATGACTAGCCGAATTTGGATTGGAATGATACTGTAAGCCTAATCATCATTATTTGATCGACAATTGAAACTAACATGCGACCCTTCTTCTCCCAGTAATGCAGTTTTCTTGGGTAGTCCATATTTTGTTACTATCTTCCAACTTCCTCAACGATTTCAAGTGGTTGAAAACACCACGGCTCTCAATGCAGCTTTCAGACTCATTCCATTCACGCTATTATGCCCTGTTGGGTCAATAGTATCCACTGTGGTAGCTGGAAAAGCTAAAGTTCCACCTATCTTTTTAATCATGATAGGTTCCGGTTTACAGATAGTCGGCTTTGCGCTACTTTCCACTCTAACCGTTTCAGAGGTAACACCAGTATCACAATATGGGTTTCAAGTAATCGCAGGTTTTGGTGTGGGCATTAATCTCTCGACTTTGCTCTTGATCACACCGTATTCCATATCTGAGCCTGCTGATAAAGGTATTTTATATTTATATCCCCCGTCAGAAATATTTGACTGACTTTGAGGTCCTGCTTCACAGCCGTTGCTGTTAGTTCCATAACACAGTTTCGAATACTAGGTGGTGTTCTTGGTATTGCAATTGCCACTGCCGCATACAAGAGCAACATTTTATCAAATCTTGACAGGATATTGACTAAAGAGCAAAGATCACTCATTCTGGAATCAACTTCAATGATTAAGACATTCGATCCAAAGGTCCAGATGCAAATTCGTGGAGTCTTCGCTGAAGGTTACAATATACAATTTCGAATTTTGGTTGCATTTGCTGCCGCACAAATCCCGTCATCATTAATGATGTGGCAGGAAAAACAAATCGTAGTCTGAACTTTTCTGAGTCATTGAATTTCGTTTCCGAGATCAGATTCCAAGGGAAAAGCTGAGTCGATTATCAAGAACTTTGAAGAGTACTGATAGGCGGCAATGATAATGCACTGTATTTATAGCAATAACAAGTTTTGACAGATAACAACCAGTTCTCGCAGACTGAATTTCAAAGTCATTGGATCGGTGATCTGCAAATTTGAGTTATAAATTGAGCCAAACTCGTATGAAAGCTTTTCCGCTCGTCCACTTTACAAGATGTGATTAGCAGAATTATAGGGAAGACTAAGTCTTCAAATCCCACGAGTATAACCAACATGCTGAATCAACCAGATCTAGATTGTAGTCATTGATCTACTTCAACAATCATAGAAATAACTCTCCAATTCCACAATCAGCTTGTCACCCTAACGCTTTGAATTTCAGCCCCTGGTAGCCCTGACAATGGTTTATATTTATTAGATTGACTTCTCAATCTTGCCAAACTCTTTCGTGGTACTGTGAGTCGGGATCATTGTAGATCTGCAAATCTTCCACTGAATAAATGAAATGTTGCTCCGACCTGATGTTTTGTTTTTGTTTTTAACTTTGTGCCGGTCAACGAAGTCCTCGAAGCTTATTAGTCTCAAGTCTTTAATTGGGAGAAAGTCCTTGTTGATGACTTCGTTGATGGGTGCAAACCTATTACTTCTGCCTTGCTTTCAGCATCAAGCAATAAGCTATGCTTAGAGGAATCTTTTCACTTGACCATGGATCTTCCGGCTCGCTCCAAACTTTCCACTTGGTTACATTTCAACGTGCCTGACAGCAGATATAGGATCCAGCAATTCTGCACTTAATCATTTCAAAATTCCCAGACAGTCATTCATCTTAGCACATCCAGCATTTCCATTTTGAGCTGTAAGGTACACGGATATTTCCTTCACGTGTACACCCTAGACACGAGTTGAGCCCTTGGACAGATGTGATTGCAACGGAGTCAAAGAGTACTGCGAAGAATCGAGACAGTGGATGATCACGTTTAAGGATGGTCATTGGGAAAACAGTTTTGCGTTTTGACAAGTGTGAAAGTTTCAATGCACTAAGAACGAAGTATCTTTGGGGTTTTCCTCAAGAAGGATTTTTACCACTGGGTACCAAACTCACCACATAAGGATCAATCAACACTGCAGAAAGAACGAGCTGAAGAGATTTTTTCTCACTAGAATGCCCCTTCATTTTACTCGTCTTTCCCAATCCCGTTCCTCTTATTCCAGCTCTCCACTCATCATTCATTATCAGATAGCAAAATCAATCACCCCTCCCCTATGACTATTGGGCCTAGAAATAATAAATCTTTAATTCTCTATCAAATGCGACATTTACTCCACAGCTGCTTTTATAGCCACCTTCCAGAAATTTCCCAAAAATCAATTCGTCCCCAATTTATTTGTGGACCACTCAACTACTCCTCTGATTCTTCCTCATCGTCTTCTTCTTTTGTCTCCAGTGAACCCTCCTCCACAGCTTCAGCATCAGGGTCAGGTCCATCGCCATTAACCTTATCATGTCCATCCCCATTAACATCAATGAGGTTCTCATTACCTTCCTGCTCTAACCTTAAATATTCTTCCCATTCAGGGAAAAGCTCCTCATCTTCACCGGGTACACCAACGGTCTTGGCGACCCTGCCCTTTTTGTCATTTTCTAACTGAGCTTTCCATGCGTGCACAGTCTTGACGGTAATGCTTGGCTTATATGTTTGTGAGAATAGCACCGCTTCTGCTGCTCTGCCAGTTTTGACCAACAGCTCAATACATCCATCAACATCTCCCAATTGCCAAAGACAAGTAAATGCAACATTGTGTGCACCAGCATCGCTTGCCTGTGCACTCAATGCTTTGAGTCCCTCTCTATCACCCGTACTTGAGTGAAGTAACAACAACGAACCAAGATCCCTTGCATTCTTGAAACATTCAGCTGCAAGTGCAACATCCCAACCAGCAAGTGCTGCATCACCTACTATCTTCCACTTATGTTCGACATCTGCTTCACGGGCAAGTTCAAGAGCTATTGGAAGATGGCCTAATGCGAGGGCCAGCTCAAATTTATGTTCGCTGTCAGTTGCAACCTCCAATGCCAATTCTTTGTGACCTTGGCCCTCGAGGAAACGAGCAATTTTGTTAAGTTGGTCTCCTGGTATCGTGCTGAGTACTTCTGCAGCTGTATCCATATCATCTCTCAAGACCAAAGTTTGGTATTCGACGACTGCAAGAGAAAGGGCGAAAGAAGTGACGTTGACATCTTTGTCAGCGAGATAAATACGAGAGTCGCGCTGGATGTATCCGAGCAAATACATAGGTTGATCAAAATGAGAGATGGTATAGGTTTGATCACCAACGAGGTAATTGAGTCTGTTGGTGCTGTTGGTATAGATGAAGCAATCACCTACCCATTCACCAGTTCGTACACTAATTTATGTTAGCATTCGATTGCGTTGGTCTTGCCTTGACATACGTTTCATTGATATCCGTCACAACTTCAAACGCAGCCTCAACTCCATCGTCATCGACTTCTCCGGCATTCAAAGCCGCAATGTAATTATCTCGGGAGAATCTGAGGACGTAGAAGGTATCTTCACATGCAATAGCGACCAATTCTCCATTTTCAGACCAGTATACCTACATCAATCAGCTTTTGTTACATTTTCACATCAGACATACGTACTTCTGTTGGCTCAACCTCAATTCTCCTAACAAATCCACCGCTTTGCCAGTCATAGAAACCGATACCACCTTGGCCCTTAACACCGAGAAGGACTCCGCCTGTCAGACCTTCAGCTTGGAAGCCAACATCAAGACCACCACTTTTCTCCACAAAGTTTTTGAAGATCTTTACACTGGTTCCCGATTCCCGAATCGCGTAATCATTACTGTTATCTTTCGAACCCCAAACAAAATCCAAAGCCGAGCCAAAAGCCTTATTTCTCCATGCAAGAGCTGTATAAATGATGAATTCGCCATCACCGCATACGGATACAAAGCGGCCGTTTGGAGAGTGGAGAAGAGTTTGTGGATATACTTCGCAGGTACCGAGATCTTTCGTGGGTAAGGAGATTGGTTCATTGTCCTTTACTGAAGCATCTACGAATGAATAGTAATGACCCTATAATCACTTGGGAATACTAACCTCCACCCTTGATAATAGACGAGACAACTTCACTATGTCGAGCCCAAATCAATTTTCCAGAATTATCCATAGATACTGCAGGCTCTTCTCGACCCATCTTTACAACCACCGCACCTTCATCGAAACCGACAGCAACGCCCTGTTTACCCTTTTGGTAACTAACACACCAAGCTCTCTCTAATCCGTAGTTCAGGGATTGCTCTAATCTGTATGTATTTGCATGCCATATTTTGACTGTGCCATCCTCGGAACCAGAGATGATGACAGGTAATTCGGGGTGGTAGCATGCGAACGAAACATTGCTTGTATGTCCTTCTAAAGTTGCGATCAAAGACTTCGTAGTATAATCCCAAATCTTGACTGTCCTGTCGTCTGAAGTAGTGAGGAGATACGGTTTGTCGGATTGAGGGTAGTAATCCACATGGTTGACACCTTTCGTTTCGTGGGCTTCTAGTGTGAAGTTTGCTGTGGATGATCCCAAACTCCAGATCTTTACGGTCCTATCCAAACATGCCGATGCAAAGGTATTCGTATCCTTTGGATTGATAGCTAGTCCCATAACATAATGACTATGTCCTTCAAATACCTGCACACATTTCCAACCCTTATCCCAATCCCACAGCTTAATTGTCATATCATCAGAGGCGGTCAAAACGAAAGGTTGCGTAGGATGAACGACGATTCGCGAATATAATCTGGATGGGCTTCGAAAGTGGTGATCTTTTCTGAAGTATTATAATTGTAAACTCGTAATTGAAAATCATCGGAACCGCAAACAATCCAATTCTTTCGAGCAATGAATCTACCAGCTCGGACAGGAACATCTGTCAACTCAAATGTCTTGACAATAGCCTGAAGATTGTCAGCATGAGAGGGCATTCATATATTGATGTTACTAACCTGAGTTTCGTAAGACCAAATGTAAACATGACCTGCGAGCAATCAATACTCCATCCTCAAATCAATTCATGCGCCAGCCAACATACCGCTGTAAAGGGTTGTTAAAATCCATGGCTCGACTGGATGGAAATCAATTCCCTTGACTCTTTCCGATCGAGCAAATAACTGCCTCTGAGTTTTGTAAATCGAATTAGTAACTGCTGCCATATTCCCAACTACAATCGTCTCCCTCAATTTGAGATTGTTGATGCTATCCAGCTTCGCGGGCACAGCTAAAGCAATCATAGCTTTCGACAGCTGTACATATATCGCAGATTACTAGCAGAAGAGGGAATTCTTCTTACCTTTACGTCCAACCTCATTTTGAATTATGTTTGAAAAGTAAGGGGGGTAGAAAAAGCAATACTGTGGCTTTCAGCGCACGTATTGAATGGGTTCGCAAATGGTTCCTCTGCGAGGTTTTCTGGTGTGAATTCAATCGCAGAAGTCAGGCGATTTATGAGCTTGCTTTTGAACCTCTCGGAGTTGTATTAGAAGAAGAATTGGTTGAGGGAAGAAATAACAGGAATTCAAAGTTGTCCCTCGATATATTTCAATGTTCCTTTGGAGTCGAGATGTGGCAGCTTGAATGATACTGACTAGCGCTGATTAGGTTTAGTGTAATAACCTTATTTCACATCCCCAGAATACAAAGAAATACAATGGTAGTGAAGACTTCGATATTTGAGAAAAAGTAGTTGATATCAATATAAATTTCAACAGAGTACCGAAATTTCGCTCTTCAAATTCACATCAATCACAATTTTCTTTCTGGCTAGTCCTCCAAATCGAATTGATCCTATCACTATATAAAGGTCTTGTCCTTACTGTCTTGTTATCTCGTACCCTCGATCTCCAACACCATCATCTGGTACCAATCACTGCGAAAGAGAGGTGAATTGCTATTTTGCTATAAAGTAAACCGTGGTGATGAGCTCTCAAATGTTTGACATTACATCTGATCGTACTTCTCAACAAAGTATATGGTTCTTTCAACAAGATCAGAACACGAATTAATGCATCAATACCTCTCTCAATCATGTTGAGTATCGAGAAGTCTTTACGAATTCCTATGTTTTACACTCTTTTGTTTTTTTGAGAGGATATTCTACACCTCTCTAGCATTTCATTTGCAACCAATTTTCAATTCTTCAAATTAACGACCAAGTGGTAAATATCTCGAACTTGGTATTCCGTTCATTTCATTCATACTATCATCCGTGGGTAACTACATTGTTCCAAGTCATCAAAAGCGTACTGCGTATCCATAACACGCCAGAAGTATCGCTCACTATCCAATCCATCCCTATCATGCCTATCCATTCGCCATCCTAAAATCCCTCAAAAAAAAAGGAAAAAGTATTACTATCACCACTCTACTCATCGGCTTGAACCTTCTCAACGACGGCTACCACATGAGGGAACAATGGATGATCCGATTGCAACCCGCAGACCTTTTCCACGACTTGTTCTGGTGAGTTTTCCGACATGATCTTGGCCAACTCCTTGGATTCATCATCACCCTCAACGTTCTGGAAACGGAAAGCCATCTCGGCAGCGTCTAACAATGCACCAAATTCCTTTCCTTCCTCCGCAAGTTCGGCTGCAGGGGCAATAAATCTTTCTTTCCTGCTCAGTTTTCGTAAGGGTGCACGACCAACTCGTTCTACTGCATCCTCCAGATGTGGGTTTCCTATTCTGGTAATGATCTTGTCGACATAATCCTTTTGCTCTTGTGCCTCGATACCATGCTTGCCGACGATCAGTCTACTTGTCTCCTCCAATGCCATGTGGACTTCCTTGAGGATCTTAGGGTCTTGTAGTGCATCGTAGACTGTAGTCTTCTGGTGGTAATATCCGTGGTATGCAGCAGCTGCGTGTCCAGTGTTGACGGTGAAGAGTTTACGCTCAATGTATGGTATTAAATCATCCACCCATTTGATTCCCTTGATCGCCGGAGGTTCGTGATCATGGAAAGGTGAGCGATCCACCACCCACTCGTAAAATTTCTCAAGCTTGACATCAAGACCTGCATTTGGGTCTTGAGCGGGAACAATACGATCGATGGCAGAGTTTGCATATCGTGCGCGCTCGTGGTGGTCCTCTAGACGATCTTCTGGAGTGTGGTCACCCTTGATGTGATTGGCGAGGGTATCAGTGGCACCAATGGCATTTTCGCAAGCAATGACTGCAATGGGGGTTGCATCATTGGCTCGGCCATCAATACCCTTGGCAATGACTGGTGCAATGAACTTGAGAATATTCGGGCCAACCGAGCATGTTACTACATCGGCTGTACGAATCTCCTCAATAACATCGGCTTCATGTGTTTTCGAATTTATCGCACGGTAATTGGTGATGGTATCTTCGCTTGTACCTCGGCGCAACTTGAATAACTTTATATGAAGGGGTGGTTTGTAATTTTGTGATGATGCTGTCCATGACATCGCAGAAGACGACTTCATAACCAGATTTGTGAAGCTAAGAGTAATGTTAGTAAATATTTCCGTATTATGCATGCCATGGTAAATTATTCAGTGCAGTTGAAAAGTTTCGAAAGACTGGCGTGAGACATAGGTCTCAAATATTTGGAACTCGAAGATTAAAATGAACATGGACTCACAAATTCAGCGACGAACCCTCTACCGATGTTGCCGGCACCGAAATGAAACTGCTTTTAAACCCTAAGATAGATGATGAATGATGAGTTCTAAAAATATCCAGGTGTGTTCTTTTATAGGAAATTTAGGTGAGATTGATGCGATGTTGTTTGCAAAGGTGAAGCGTGGGTTTGAGTAGGTATATGGCGGGGTATGATGGAGGTGTGTAGGATGGATTGTGAGTCAAATTGATGACTGTGTCGAAAGGTGTTGTAAAGATAGAATGTGGTAACACACGAAAGGTTATTAGAATGGATGAAAGATTATGATCAAGGGAAGGAGAAATCGAGGAAGCAGTTGGTGTTTATATATTTGAAATACGCAGTGTATATTGGCCAAAATGGGCGCAGGGGGGGATCGATAGCATTGCACAGTCAACCCAAAAAGCAAGGTCACCAGTTTTGTAACCACTATCTTGGCTTATACTACGTAGGATGTATCTCGGATTGGAGGAGGGAAGAATATCTGCACGAATGTCTAGACTAATGGCGGGGAAGTAATGTTATTGGATGTATTGCGATGTACCTGAAAAAGATCAACCAATAAGACATCCAGATCTTTCTGTGCTTTGGAGGAATTAAAAAGAAACGAGGGATTTCCAAAGCGGTGCTCTGCGCAGGCTTGCAGGGCTCTGTAGGTAGGTAGGTACACCAACAACATGGATGGAACCAAGAGGAGGGAGAGGGCCGTTGCTAATGACCTCCTGGCAAGGTTACCTGGTTGCGACCAATCATTGAGAAGAGAGAGAGGCTAGAGATGCCATAGATGCCATAGATGCCATAGATACCGTGGATGATCCATTAATCATTAAATCATTGCAGACAACATGCAGATGCCTTGACTCCAGCTTTGAGACGGATGCGGTAAGGTGTGGAAAATGATGAAAGTGGATTCAATCAAGTTGCGACGACGTACCGGCACGAAGCAACGTATTTTCGATCTGATACGAAGAATGTTGATAGGGCGAGAGAGAGTATGACGCAGTTTGGTGGTTTCAACATCAAAGCTGGGGATATTTTGATTGGGTACATTGAGCAGTGGGGAAGAAATGGAGAGGACGGTCAGGGTGGGATCGAGGGGATCGAGGGCGGGGAGGGGATGGATAACTTGGATTGGGCTGGCACCAATGAATGATGCAGGTGGAATATGGAATATGGATGATGGATGATGGATTGTGGATTGTGGATTATGGATGATGGATGATGGCTGAGGATGAAAGATGGCATTGACTAAGGTGAGTTACAAATATAATTACTCAATGTGGGATAAAGAGCCAAGTGCAATGGGCAGTGATCAAGCCAAAGTTTGGGAACGTGCATTGATTGCATTATCTGGTCCATGGTCCAGAGTCCAGACCGGGCAAATCGGATAAATGTACAAAGTACTCCGTATCTGCCACCGACGGACTGATGGCCATATGGGAGGTGATTCTCCAAAAGAACACATGAAACCTCCATCTGCGATGTCCAGGAGGGAATGAATGATCAAGCATAGCCAGTCAGCAGTATGTACCTGGTAGGTGGTGAATCGAAATCTGGTAAATGAATATGTCGTATGGAGATTGTACATGGTCCGGAGCATATCGTGTATCATGCAATAATAAGGATTTACATTATTTAAACTTTCTTTGTTTGTATTCATTGCATCCTTCGTACTTGCTCCGCCCGTAGATGCATCTCTCAACTCTAATACTTACTCTAATACTTTGATACCAGATACCGGTACACACTGTACAAGTACCTAGTATGTACTCCCTATTCCAACATGAGAAACAAACCCCACCAGCACATCTCACGGAAATCACGAGGTTTCCAGAGTGAGGGTGTGAGTGAGTGTGAGTGTGAGTGTGAGTGTGAGTGTCTTGGATGTACTAGGTAGTATGTATATGATCACTCAAACCAACAAAGTACAAATCACGAGGTCAATTTCATGGTGGAGTTTCCCTTCCAACGTCCGAGTAATGTTCGTCGATTTGTGGTGATAATGAATTATCATGAGGCAATTGATTGATGGGTGGATGAAACGGCATCGGAATCGGACAGCACGGAGTAAAAAGATTTCATCATGGTCTTTGCGACTGACAAACTACCTAGTACTGCAGTTGCAATGACCGTGGTCCTTGATCGATTGTGAATCTCTCGACTCTCGCTCCTCGTACAGGTGTACATGATAGAGTATCCTATCCTCATCTCCCTACCCTCCCTGCCCAGTAATCGGATCCACCTTTTCGTACTCTGCAGGCGATGCGATTGTGACGATAACCAGCCCCACCAAAATTCTCACGATGTCTTCATTTTCCCACATGCTAAGGTAATCAATCACTCAATAATTACCATCTCGATTCCAATCATGTATCATGTATGATGTATGATGTTATCCGGAAAAATCATACCATTCTCCAACCATGGCCCTTTACCCGAATGGACTTATCCAGGAAGCCGTTCTCTCCTTTTCGGTCCTTTTTTCGTTAAATACTCCTAGGTCCACTTATACACAACGTTGAACTTACAATGACGAAAGAATACGTCGTACATGGATGGTCAACGGTTGGAAAAGATAGACATTGTAGTTGATGGCGGCAAGGGAAGAATCGAAAATCAACTCATGTTGAGGAAATCACTATCCTATCTTCACATTCTCCCGGACCCGAATGGAAACCTGCA